GTATATTATACTAACTATCAATATTTGGTATCCGTGGAGACAAATCATCATGCTAAAGACCAGTATTTGTACGAGAACAATCAAATTGAATACTTCCTCCAGTTTCTTGCAATATTCTATAAGCGCTTGATGTTGCCGGATGTACTTTTTAAAAGTTTCGTAACATTTGTTTGCGAAGCACGATGAATTCGCACTGAATTTCTGATCTTTTCTCAGCGTTTTCTCTCTGTTCATTAAACCCGTTATATCGGAAATCCTATACTGCAATATTTGAAATTGAGCAGCCACGTGTAGATTTAAAATGCATAAGAAATTGTCAAAGCAAAAATAAGTTATCCCGATGTGATACAAGGACAAAACCTGTAAATTTTATTCAAATAATATTATTAAATATTTCTGAGTGATTATTAAATGTTATTTAATTTTTTTTAATGGAATATTGACGATAACAGTGTGATGAAATGACAATACCTGTAGAACAAATGTTATTTCATAGTATGGTGTTACAGTCAGGGGTAAGTCAACCCACATGTTGAATGGAAGTGCTCTGTCTGATGCGTTTCTTGAAATATTTGCTGAAATAGATGTTCAAGTAGCTTGTTTTTTCTTTATTATTTCATATGTAGATATCAAAGTTTTCCTCCCTATGAGAAGGAAATACAGGTAATGTGATAAATCTTTTGTATAAAATAAAAAGAAAATGATTTCATCTTTGTACATATTATATTAATAAGGACAGCGGATTGTAAATTAGATCATATTGGATTAAACAAAAAATTTGTTTTATTTTTACGATCTGGATATTTACACTATACGATACAATCAAGATATTCGCTAAATTTTCAGTGATTTTAATGGCTGTATCTGCGATTTATACAGGTTTGTTTGTTCTATGTGGTTTGCTTGTACGAAAAAAAAAATATTAGAGAGAAAATCCGGAAAAAATTAGTGACAAAAATATTTATTTCATATATATATTCAGAAAAAAGATAAGATAATTATATTACACAAAAATTTGAATGTATATGTCATGAAAACTTCATGGAAGAGGGAA